TGGGTGTGCGCCATAAGGAGTATACGGTCGAAGGCGTCCAGTTCCATCCCGAGAGTATTCTTTCGGCAGATGGTCGGGTTATGATCAAGAATTTCTTGCACATGCAAGGGGGTACTTGGGCTGAAAACGAGCGACTACAAAAAGAGTCGCAGGTTAACGGTGTCGCAAAGAGCGTGGCAGCGACGGCCCCTAAGAAGAATAACATATTGCAACAGATATATGCTCGTCGAAAGGAGGCAGTGGCAGCCCAGAAGGAGATCCCGTCACAACGTTTAAGTGATCTTGAGGCTGCGTACGAACTTAACGCCGCCCCCCCTCAAATACCATTCGTCGACCGCCTACGTCAAACTCCGTTCGATGTCTCCCTTATGGCCGAGATCAAGCGAGGTTCGCCCTCGAAAGGTATCTTTGCCCTCGAAATCGATGCGCCATCGCAGGCGAAGAAGTACGCTCTGGCAGGAGCCAGCGTCATCTCCGTGCTCACGGAGCCAGACTGGTTTAAGGGTAGCATCGAAGATCTCCGTGCCGTACGGCAAGTATTAGACAGCATGCCTAATCGGCCTGCGGTGCTCCGAAAGGAGTTCGTATTCGACGAGTACCAGATCCTAGAGGCACGACTCGCTGGTGCCGACACGGTCCTCCTTATTGTTAAGATGCTTGACGTAGAGCTACTCACGCGCCTATACAAATATTCTCTTTCCTTAGGAATGGAACCCCTAGTCGAAGTTCAGAACGCAGAGGAGATGAAAACGGCGGTGGAATTAGGCGCCAAGGTCATCGGTGTCAACAACCGCAATCTAGAGTCTTTCGAGGTTGACCTCGGTACTACTAGCAGACTACGCAGTCTCGTACCAAAGGAGACTATCATATGCGCTCTCAGCGGTATCAACACTCACGAGGACGTAGTTGTCAATCACATGGATGGCGTCAACGCTATCCTAGTGGGCGAAGCCATTATGCGTGCCCCCGATGCGTCGCAGTTCATCCAGCAGCTCTGCGCGGGTCAAGTAACCGCCCAACTAAAACCTAAACCTAACCCACTCCTCGTCAAGATCTGCGGCACGCGTACTCCCGAGGGCGCATTGGCCGCTGCCGAGGCCGGCGCAGATCTGATCGGCATGATCCTCGTGCCGGGACGAAAGCGCACCGTGAGCGATGACGCCGCGAAGGCTATTTCCAAAGCAGTCCATGGCTTCGCCCGATCCGACTCATCAGCTTCCTCTGCCATACCCATATCTAGCAATGCCGCAAGCGACTTCTTCACCTCAGCATCCCGCAAACTTACTCTTCCCAACCGCCCCCTACTCGTCGGCGTGTTCCAGAACCAACCCCTAGACGAAATCCTCGATTTACAGAAACGCTACTCCCTCGACGCCGTGCAGCTTCACGGCCGCGAGCCGATCGAGTGGGCACGCGCGATCCCAGTACCCGTGCTACGACGCTTCTCGCCTGGTGAGCCGGGGCTAGGCGCCCGCGGATACCACGCCGCGCCCCTATTCGACTCTGGGTCCGGATCGGGACAGTTACTCGACGGCGTCGACGTAAAAGCAGCGCTAGCGAAGGACCAGGAACTACGAATCGTGTTGGCAGGTGGCTTAGCGCCGGAGAACGTAGCAGACGTAATCTCTGCCGCCGGCGAAGACGGTAGCCGGATCATCGGCATTGACGTAAGCAGTGGTGTTGAGGGACCAGATGGCCAGCAGAGTTTAGATCGGATACGAGATTTCGTTACGAGGGCGAAGGCTATCAGGTAGATGAAAAGAAAAAAAAGAAAGAAGCACAAATGAGAAATGAGAGAAGAAATACTGGTCATGGATATATATCACGGCGGGTGCGGTAGGAAAGGGACGGATGTTAGGTTAGGGGTGAGCTATGTATAAAAGAATAAAAGCACTGCGATTTTCATTCATTATTGAAGTATTCGCGTGACCCTGTGACTTCGCAACTAGTTTGGCGGTTCTAGTAAATTATTCCTACCCTGCAAGCTTTCACTTTCACCCAGAGATCGAGTACTTAACCTTCCATGCGGTACAAGTGCAACCGGTCGTTTCCTGGGTATTAAATCTCCCGCAGCAGCCAGTAACCTCTAACATCTTAACCTCGACCTCTCGACCTCAAAAGGAAGACAGTAGCAGGTTCATCGCCCGTCACAACAACCCCCTATCGAAACCGACCCCTCCCCCGTCCCCCCGTAGTCTTATTCCGCGCGCTCTCAAGCGTACTCTTGAAATCCTTGTACAGCGCAGTCACTATACCCTTCTCACGCCACCCGTCGACGATTCCGTTCGCCAGATTGCGGCGCTTCCTAGCCTTCAAGCGCTCGCGCTCCTTAAGCTTATGCGCAGTCATCCACCCGTCATCTTCGAGCCGCTCCTCGACCCATTCCTTGAGCGCGTGTTTCCAATGGATCAGGCTGTGCGCAGTTTCCGCGTTACTGCAGCATACGACACCTACGTGCCATTCTCTAGTTACCGGAGGTAGCGTCATGCCTTGCGTGTCAATGGAACCGGCGTTGCTTTCGTTGTCGCTGTCTTCGTCTTCATTGCTGTCGTTATCCTCGGTGTCGGATTCGACATCTGCGAGGGTGCTTTTGTAGTACGGGTGTCCTTGGAAGATGATGCGGAAGGACGCGGGGTGGTTGCTTCGGCCGCAGGCGTCACATGTGTCATACAAACCAGCGCTCCTTTCGGATCGATCCATCTCGTAAGCCTCCATTTTAGGCCTACCTTTTAGAGTACGGTAGAACTCGGCCTTCCAAGCGGCGGAGGCAAATTTAGAGGATGCGAGGGCGCGGACCTCGTCGTCTAGTTTACGCCAGGCGTTGTTATAAACAGGATCGTTGCGCTCGAACGCGGGATTGATACGGTTGTGAACTAGCCACTCAATGACATATGGGAATTGGTCCTTTAGTGGCCTATGTGCTTGAGCTGTGAATTCCAGGGGAATGTCCAGGTTCGCAGGAGCTCCTAGGGGGGCATCGTCGTCATCAGAGATGAAATCTTCGAGGTCCTTATCGTCGTCGTCGCCATCTTGACCCTCGACATCCTCCTGGCTATCCTCTTGGCTTATCTCCTCAATTTCCTTTTCCTTTCGTCGTAATCGCTTAGCAGGCTTTTCCTCCTTTTCTTGCTCTTCACCTTCTGACTCCTCGTCATCGAAGTCCTTCAGGACGACGAATTCTTCCTCTGGGTCCGTGTCGTAAAGTCCACGCTTCTCCTCATCGGAGTCTTCTTCTGAAGATGTAAGCTTTTCAATCTTCTCGCCAGCCCTCCGGCGACGAAGAAGTTCCATCTTCTTCTGCTTTTCAGAACGATGGCCTTTCGGTGCGCCCCGTTTTGTAGGTGAAGAAGGAACTAGAGAGGTTGGTCTCTTAAGTCTACCAGGAGTCGAGACCGATATCTTCCTCTTTTTCACTGGTGAAGCATCCGAGTCGCTCGAGTCCTCAAGTTCGATGAATCTCGGGCGCGGGCGTTTTAGCGAGCTAGGCGGCACAATAGGACGGTCATCGTCGTCCTCATCCCCATCTTCATCCGAGTCATCTAAGGCGATAACAGGAAGGCGTCGACGTTTTAGAGTAGAAGGAGGAGCGATTGGCTCATCATCATCATCGTCGTCGTCGTCGTCGTCGTCGTCGTCGTCAATGACGGTATTTCGAAGTCTAGTTGAGACAGACTGCGACGACTTTACAGGGACGTTATTCTCTTCATCTTGGTCTGGCACTTCAGTCTCAGACTCGGAATCATCACCCACGACGGGGCGCCTAGAGTCATGAATTTTTGGCATGAAACTTGCCGGGGGCGGCCTAGCCGGCGATGTCGTATTTTGTGATAACCCTATCCGATTATAAGTATTCGTATTATAATAATATAAACCAATATGTTTGCTACCCTCCTATTCTTGAGTGGCAAGTTCAAGTTTAGAATATGTTAAGATGTTAAGAGATAACTAGACAATAAAGGAGAAGCATCAAATACATACCAACAGTGCCTCGTAGTTTGCTCTGCCTTTTCTTAGAGCGGCCCGAAGAACGAGTTGCTTGCGCCGGGGATGCACGACTTGGACTACTGCTCGCACCTGTATCCTTGGAAAATCGTACGTTGGCAGGCGTAGCTTTACCCGGCGAGCTAGAAGCACCAATAGATTCAAACGTAAGTTGAGTCTGGCGTTTTTTATTCTTACGAGCCATGATAAGTTGAGGCGATCCAAGTAGGTATGATCACAACGATAAGAAAAGAAAAAAAAGATATCGAAGCCTTTTAGTACTGTAACGTCTAAGAAGACTAATTCGAGAGATATTAATAATAGATATCCCTAACGATGCCAAACGATATGTTTAACTATGTAGATGTAATCGGGAGGTTTGCGGGCCTATCGCCGCCCCTCCATATCTGAAAGAAATGACGTAGGGCAAACGAATACAAACATAGTAACCTAGATAACAAGCCTAAAGTGTTTTAGTGGCGAGTAGATAGCGGTGATGAAGTAAAAATGGAGTGAACAATTAGCTGAAGCCTGAAAAATTACGCGTCGCATCCAAATCACGTTGTCGATACATAGTACTTTCGCGAAGTCACGTGGCCTCTCCCATTTAAACCTCTACCTAGGTCCCGTCCTTAATCAACCGAGAACCCCGGAACGCCGTTACCTTAAACCGACCACTATTTAATCTTTAATATATATATGTATATATATATACAATGTGAGAGTCCCAATATTTCCAGAGTTCTAACCAGTCAGCACACATGGGTATATATTAGGTATATATCACTTCGACAGCTCTACAAACTCTTTAACACTTCTATTCGCGATATCAGTAGTATCTTTTGGGGGGGATCGGGGTTGTATTCATTGTGGATGTGAAGTGTTTCGCAGGGGACAAAGTGTCGTGACTAAGTTATTGGGGGAGTTGGTGTTTGATCCACCCGTACACTATCTAAGCGTCTCTCTTCATCTCCCGTCATAATCATTACCGTCCTTCGCTGCTCTGTAAATCCTTTAGGACATGCCCTACTTTCCAAATCATCTGCTACGGAGCACTTGCTCTATACATCCACCATGCAGGGATTATGAGTGATTGGAAGTCCATAACACCCAATGGATTTCGGGCGAACACCATCGTCGACACTATGAATACCGGCACATTACGAAGAAGCGGCGGTTTCCTCCTTCTTTTCCTCCGCCTTGGGCTCGGGCTCCTCTGTCTCGGTCTTGGTCTTGGCCTGGGCTGCCTGGGAAAAGAGCACCTCGTTTTCCTTCTGAGCCTTGAGCCAGGCTTCCTTAAATAGTTGGGCATCTGAGAAAAGGATTAGTATTAGGTAGCGAGGGTGGATTAGGATCACGGCTTACTCTCAGCGTTAGCTACGCGAACAGAGACGGTAATAGCTTCAGGTTCACCCTCGCTAACATCAGCGCCCACATTCCAGAGCCAAGCACGGTCGCTGGTAGACATAGGGGCGATCGTCATCTCCGGGGTAACTAGACCACCACCCTATTAGTTTATGGTATGCTGGGTGGAAGGTATGGGGAAACGTACTGTAGTGGTTGGCGCAAACCTTGAGGGTCTTGTCTCGTCGCATAACCAGACGGATCTTGCCGTTCTCCTTGTGCTTCAGCAGGCGGAGGGGTCCAGTACCACGCTCCTTCCATTCGCCCTTGCCCTCGGAGTCCTGAGTGAACTTGAACATCTTGCATCGCATGTTGAATATCTCCTCCTCGGACTCCTCGTGTGTCACCGTCTTGATTTTCTCGGTGAGCTTGTGGACGGGCTCGAAGTGGACATCCTCCGACTCGGGAGCCACCTCCTCCTATATAGAGAAATGTTGTCAGCGCTTATCACGAGAAGCAAAAGAGAAGACATCAAGGTATATAGTGTATGTTTACATACTTCGTCGTCACCCTTCGCAGCAGCGGCGGCCTCGCGCTGGGCCTTGGCGCTACCGGAAACGTCACCGCGGTCATCATCCTCCTTCTTCTCCTTCTTTGCGCCGCCGCCAAACATGGAGAAGACAGATGATGAAGTAAGAGGCTTGCTCTCAGCCATCTCGGGAGGCTTGGTCTCGCCGACCTTGGGTTCGGTGTTCTCGGTGGAGCTCATGTTGGATATTGCTAGATGAAAAGGTGAGTCGGGATTCCTATATTTGTTTTTCTCCTTCGCGACAAATGATAGCGACTTTCGGATAAGGAAAAACGAACACTAGCAAGTAGACTTAGTTTAACTCGTCGTATTGCAGATACCGAATGTGTTGTAGATGGGTTATGGAAGACGGTTGTGGTAAATAAGAAAAGTAAATAAGGTCTCTAGACAAGCAACCTTAACCAGGAAGAAAATAGACCTGGGCAAGGAAAAGAAAGAAAAAAAAAGAACCATTAGACATGCTACCCCACCGCCATAGACCGTCGGTGCACAAGTGTGTCACACTCCCAAAACGAAGCAGAAAGTACGTAGGAGGGGTACCTACCAAATGTACCGAGATCTAGAAGGATTGATGCGATGCAAGTGATTTGATGCAAAGAAAAAGATATGCAGGTAGACGACGATTTAAGAAAAAAAGAAAAAAAAGGCACACGTACCAGTCGATCTCTTTCTACTATGTAAAATGTATGTACGGAAGCGCAACCAGAAGATTGGGTAGAAGTCTAAGTGGTAGCTGGGTAGTATGTGGTATTAGGTTGAAATATTATGGTTGACTTGTGGTTTGACGGGTTCTAAATCAAATAACATTCTTGCAAAAACAAACGGAGGGGGTGGGGAATCTGAAGAATTGCCCCTCGCCCTCGCCCCCGCCCCGCCCTCTCTTTCCTCCCCTCCCCTACCCCCCCTGCTTGCCTGCTGCTCTGAACCGTAGACCACAAAGTTGTGATTTCCCAAGGTCGGGCACCAAGTATCCCCCACCGAAGACCCATTTGCTTATCGGATGGTTGGCAGCTGTAAGAACTACCTTTAGGTACCCCGAGTACATAATTTATTTGTACATGTGACAATGACATACAACGTTCCCTAGGTATCCATTATTCCCTATCTAAACTCTTTACTTATAACTTCAAACTTGTGACAGCAACTTAATTCGCATAAGACACACCATCAGGGTACCCCAAGAGAAAGCCTCGTTATTATCTACACCACAACTCATAAATCAAGAGCTTAGTTGTCCTTTATGTAACCCTTCGTGTTGCGTAGATTGGTACTAGGGATTTCAAAGTAGTTACCTACAGAGTTATGACTTGCACGTACTCGTACGTATACTCAGCTTCGTTTAGATGTCTATTTAGGCGAGCCTAGTTTAAGTCTCACATTGTAGAACCACGAGGCGCCAAAATAAATACAAGCGAACTATATCGTGTATAGTATAGAACAAAGAAAAGGAGAATGCTTCATATCAAAGATACAGCTTTAAATTGCCTAGTTGGGACTATTGTAGCAGTTGAGTAACAATGAATCTTCACCACAGAAGCGTAGCTTAAACGAGAACGTATTACCTTGCCTACTATCTCACTAACGAGATGAAGAATTACAAGCACCAAAGTAATATATTCTCCATGGCCTACTCGTTGGTCATATACTTAGGGTTCCTCAGGTTCTATCTTATTGACAAACCACTACGAAGTCAAAGTAATAGCTCTCGAGCTCTATGCCCGGCCACTATCAACAATATCCCTAGAGCGGACGAGGGGCCATCCTCCGCTCATTGCGGTCACCACCGCCTGACAGCAATGCCGAATGGGGTTGGTACTAAGAACACATGTAAAACGTATAGCCTCCGAACTTCGTTATTCCCGACTAACCCTGACACTCAAACGTGAAGAAAAAAGGGGGAATAGAACATCCTGTCATACTCCCGGTAGTCCATCCTTGTGTACATGTATCATCGACGCAGCAACTGAGTCGACGAGAGAGAGAGAGAGAGATAAAGTGGGGATTCAAGGGAAGCACCGCTTTGTTCTATAGTGGTGTCAGGATAGATAACCGAGGACAAGATAACCAGCAAAAACCACCAAATCACCCAAGCCCAACGCCGTCCCCGAGTTCACTCTCGCAACCGTGTAATTAAAATGTTTAGAACGCGCAGATTATGCCCAGGAGGCTCTCATGCGCTTGTTCCAGAAAGAACCTCTCGTCTCTCCATGCTCCTTCTTTTGCCGTGACCGTACCTGTTTCTTGACGTACTCGGCTCTTTCCTGCCTAGCTGCTTTGGCTTCGTCAGTCCTCTCTTTTAAGAGGGCCTCGGCCTTCGAGAGATAACGTCGGTATTCGTCCATATTTCCCTGTACTCGAAGCCACCAGAGCTTGGATCTGAGCTGCGCAGAAAGGTAGCGTAACGTAAGCTCGTCGCGGAGGTCTTGAGCCCCTCTTACAAGCTCCAACTGCACTTGATGCTGACGTCGTTCTAGATCGTCGTCGACGAAGGACTGCTTAATCTGGGCAATAATCTGCGAGATAAGATGGGAAGGGAGATCGAGGACGGCGTTAACGACATCTTTAAATCCCTGTAATAAGGTATCCGAGATAGACGATGTTTGGCTGCAGACTTGTTTCGACATGACATCCAGAGCCGGTATGTAAGTCTCCTCAACCCATGCCGTTGTCTCGTTGACGGTGTCGACAATTTTTTGCGCGAAGCCCCTGACCAGCTGCTTTCCGGCATCAAGAGCATCTATGAACTTGTTCCTGCCAAAGTCGACGTGAAAGGTCTCCTTAACCTTAGGGTTCGAAGTTGTGGCAATAGATACGGACAGGACACTATATGCTTCCTCAAGAGGTACCTGAATCAAGAAGCCCTCGTTTACAGAGGTCACCTTGGTCGGGATATCGTACAGGCCCCGACTCACGGCAATTAATATGGCGTCTTTCGAGAGCCAGGCAGATTTGATACTTTGGGGGATTTTTACCATGATCTCATTTCGATCATATAGCTCTGCCGAGCAGACGGTCTGTAGTTGGGACCCATTGGTGGCGTCCGTCTCGTCCTTATCTTTCCCAAATGGCATGAAGACAAGGCCACTTGGCGAAGTACTACTAGTCTGCAACGCCTTTTGGGTTTGAGTCTTGGTCAAAGTTGGTGTGAACATAGAAGTAGATATGGGATTTCCAAGGGGAGAGGGGACAGCCGCGGAAGAGATCGAGGCTACCGGGACCGTAGATAGGACTTTAGGGGTCGGCGGACTGAATAGGAAGTATTTCCCGCTGATGACTAGAGCGTAGAAAACAGCGAATCCGGATAGGGCCATTAAAATACGGTAATTCCCTTGGACAAACCCGAGTGTCGAACGATAGCTTTCCCAAATACGATCCGTTGAATCCTCGTGTTCAGGAGACAGCATATGTGCACTATCTTCTTTGCCCAGTACCGTATCATGAGAAGCTAACTTGTGCATTTCCGCAAGGGCTTCCCGGGCCTGGCTTTGGTCGATCTCTGCTCGGCGTGGTAAGCTTAGGATACCATGCTGGGAGAAGTTTGTAGGGTGCTCGAGGCTTTGATTCGCGAGTGTCTCTACATCGGCATCTTCGTCATCGGACTCAGCGGTGTATTCGACAACGGTGTCGTTAACTGTGCTCATTACAGCGGTTTCGTTTAGTGTAGTGGCCTCCTCCTCCTCCTCTTCGTCGTCGGAAGAGTCGGTATCGACTTCGTTAGCATCGACGTCGGTGCCGGTATCAGTACCAACTAGACTCTGGACATCGTCGGTCCTTTGATAGTCGAGGGAGCTAGCAGTAGACTCGGCCTGGCTCTCGCCATCGGTACCGATGACATCGTAGCCCAGCTCGGCCAGGCTGGGGTCGTCGTCTGGGAAGTTTTCTGGTTGCATAATATCGGGAGAGCTGGACGAGATCCAGTTGGTAAGCTGCCGGTTGCCTAGGGGCCGGGGAAATCGGAGTGAGGGTACGGAGTTGGAAGTATGGTTGAGGCTGTTTGCCTGACTCGACCCGGCTGCAGTGGAGTGGGTAGGAGGGTCGGTAGATGAATGGGCAACAGCAGTCGGTATATCGGTAGGCGTTGATGGTTCGGGCTGTTCCATTACGCGGTAGAACAAGGCGCCTTTTGCAGGATCACGTCATACCTCAAGTTTACCGTTGCGGAGTGGTAAACCAAAAGAGGATGACAGAACACGCGGCAGGCTATAAGCGAGCAAACAGAAGGTATTATGGGTCTTGAGGAGGTTGTAAGGTGCGAATTATCGGTATCAGACAACCAAATTGCCCCAGATATGTAGGTTGGAGTCGAAATGTCCAAGTTGCATATACCTAAGATACTGGACAAGAAAGGGCCGTGCGGCTTAGATGCCTAGACGAATTAAAAAAGGAAGCGTTAGCTAAGTAATCTCGTATATTCAGCAGAGTTCCTCGAGTGTCATTGAACCTTCTTTAAAATAAGGAAGAGAAGAAGGGAAAGTAGAGTCAGAGAAATACATATGTAGGCTCAGGGCTCAGGGCTTAAGAGAGCAGGCTCCAGGCAAAGAGGTAGGGTTAGGTAGGTATCTAAACCGGACAAAAGTTATAAAACAGTATAATGGAACAGTATGTGCAAGTGGGCAAATGCAAATTAAGTAAATGTCAGGAAACGTAGGCAGCGAAAGACGAGGCAAGACTTGTCTTCTTCATATGATTGATTCATGTAGGTATATACAGATATACGCACGCTGTAAATGTTCCGGCGAGGGGGGGTAAAGTGCTGCCTTGTATGTAAGTGGGAGGATTGGGGGGTAAGGGATAAGAAGACGAATGGTGGATAACCAGACGAGATTGAGATGGTTGGATGGTTTTGGATGAGTAGTAAGTATGTAAGTGATTTACCTGTGAATAGCAGTTGGGTATTTTGGTAGTTGGATAAGTTAGGCAGGTAGTTTCAGTTTCAATATTTTAATATTTCAATGTTGGATAATAGTTGGATGGGTAAGGCAAGTAGTAGGTAAAACAGCGTGAAGCTGCCTTACTGAATTAGAAGTCACCCATCTTACGTATTACGGCGCGCGGATAACACATGGAGAGACATCCATGGAGGGACATGGAGGGGGCGGGGTATTCTCACCTTAGAGTTTAGGAATTACGATGTATGTACCGAGGTACATGCAAGTGCTATAATTCCTTATGGGGACCTTAGGGAGTTTAGGTATCCCGATACTGAATATTGAAATACCTATTAGATGCGCGTGCGCACTCGAGGCAGAAAAATTGGTCAAATGTTTGTCAAGGTTGGGCCGTGAACGTCCGTATCGAGTTTGGAATATTAAGACCGATCACGACTTGTCCTCCAGGTCAGCAGGTGTAATGTAGGATAGGTACCTGTTATGTAAAATAGGACAATCAGAGGTAGAAGAAAGTACATCCAATGCTTTAGGTCAGGTGGAGGAAGATCTGCACTAGCAGGACTAGCAGGACTAGGCACCGTTCAAACAAGTCAGATAGGTCAGATAGGTACCTTACCTAGGTAATGGACGCTATATTTTCAAGGATGCACTTATTTGCATGCCTCGAAAAGACTTACGATTAATCGAGGAAATAGTGGGAATGGAAGAAATTAAAATGTATCAGATTGGTCGAATCTTCTGTTTGCGTGTCTTACTTCAGGTCGATAACATCAACAAGAAGAAGCAGGGCGTAGAAGAGAATAACGGGAACGAGAAAGTGTTGGTTAATGCTGAGTGATTCAAGTTTAACCTAACATATGCCCTATTGATAAGACACGGGAATTGGTGGGGGTTTAGATGAGCTGCACCGTCGCACTATGAGTACGTACCTACGTATTATATCATATCTACATCTATAGAAGTCACAGGATACATATCATGTCCACTAGGTAATCCACTAATTCAGCCTTGATTCTGTCTCCATTCTTACATGTAGTATATCGGGCACTAGGACGCAACTATTAGGTACATGGTAAATTGGATTATCTAACATATCGATACGTAAATCAAACCTATTACAGCAAACGAAGTTATACCCAACCCAGCCCACAGGCCATAATCTCCACGCAAGGCTGGTGCACCGTCGATGCAGCATTGATAATATATATGTCGACCTAACTTATAGCCTATTACAACATAACACAAGATGGAATTGGGAATACAACATCGCTTTTGAATATAGCTTACGGAGACAATATTGGTGTGGTATGATCAAGTTGGTATTATTAAGTTATGACATGGCAGTTGAAGTGTCCCCAAGGGATTCCCCCGCCGGCTATAACGTTGGTCTCAAGAACCAATGCATGTCTAATAGATAGCCTTTGATCGAATCTATACCGTCCGTACCTCTCTTGTAACTCCTAAGTTGTAGTAACATCAATGGGATATCGCAAATTCACTCGTGCGCCCTTCATCTACCCCATCATTATCGTCATTCCTAGCACCATCATTCTCATCGCCCATAGAACCCATCACTAAACACCTCGCAAGTCTTTATAAGTGCGAGTCGATCACCACCCCGTGTAATTCCCATATAATTGGCCCTGTATAGCCAATGGGACAGGCCGACGGCTAAAGCCGAGTTGTGATGCTCCTAGAAGTAGAAGATTTTAGGGCTACCGAATTTAACTCGTCCATAAATGTGTCGCGAGGTAATGCAACATTCATCTTGACGGGCGAGTAAGCCTATCGCATTATCCTCTAATCTGCCATATATCAGTTCGAGTAGGTCGAACACTGACTAGAGACCGCGCTCTCATAAGCGAAGTAGCAACGCCAGCGTATGCTTTCAAGAGTTGAACCAAGGAGCCTTATATGATGCCATGCTTCTTGAAAATCCTCTTTAATGAGTCACTGTCAAAGTCCTCATCGTCGGGGATCATGTCGATAATCCCCGTCAGGTTGGCGAACAAGTCGCCTTGGTTCCGGTACGCAAGGACTGTAGGTACGGCGGCATTGTCGAATTCTATGTCTTCGTAGTGAACTTTGACAAAATGTATTTCGGGATGAGAAGTGACTAGTGGTTGTAGCGCCGACTCAATGAGGCCTGATACTTGACACTATTTATTTCATTAATATGCGCTCATAGACAGACAACTGTAGGGAGGAATTGACTAACCTCGTGATCGTAAACGAATACTACCACAACTGTATCTCTTCCCACCCTCTCGATAGCATCCAGGTATCCTAGTGCGTCGACACTATCAAAGCGTCCAAACATTCTCAGGCTTGGACTTGTTCTCCGGGTGCGAATACCATTTGTAGCCTCCTTCTCGAGCTCCTTCCTTCGCGTCTCTCGCCATTGCTGGAGAAAGCTATCCTCGTCTTCGTCATCCTCGCTGTCGCCGCTTTGTGAGCCAGTTAGACGAGCTCCTTCTCCCTTTCCGAATACTGATTGGCGAGCGGCACGAACTCTGCTTCGCCACTTGTTCTGACGAGCCTGTTCATAGGCACGGGCATCGGCAATGACGCCCTTCACACCAGTACTGTGGCCTGAATTGAAGCTTGCTGGTGGCAGCTTTACATCGCCTGTTAAACTAGGGGCGCGCATGGCTGCTTCTATCTGTGCGTTGCGATAACGGTCTTCTTCGTCTTCGTCTTCGTCGGAATTCTCGGCCTCTCTCCGAGCGTCGTCACGGTCTTCGGGGTGTATTCGTGAACCGTGGTCAGTGTTCTTTTCGAGTAAGTCTCGAAATTCTTCCTGGGCAGGAGTAGGATTATTGTTTACGTTTGCGGAAGTAGAGGTCATGATGGGCGAGTAAAAGATGGGAGGAGGGGGTGAGAGGATTGATATATGTGATAGGGTTTGGTGGGTGTGGGCGAGACCACGAGGTAAGACAAGGAAGATTCAAATAGACAAGGAAGCCTGTCCTGGGGGATGGATGTGGATGATGTGGATGGTGTGGATGGTGTGGATGTCGTAGTGTTTTGGTGGGAGGGAAGAAGCAAAATAGAGCAGGATAGGCTGATGTACACCGCAACGACCCAACGTTTCTAAAAGAAGGGATGAACGAGGGTTAGGTAGTAAGGTTGGCAAGATTGGCAAGGTTGTTAAAGTAAAGGTCTTGCGTTCCATGCAAGGACTAAAAAAAGGGAATGCTTCTGGAACAATGCCCAAAATCAAAGGAAAGGAGTTACGGAGGAAGGACTGCAGGCATGCGTCAGAATGTTTCAGACGCCACAAAATAGAGCCTATTAGGTTTAGCCTCTATGTGATCGAGCAGTGCGCTATGTTAGAGAATATGTATGGTTGTGCTTTTAGGTTCCACTAGCCATGCAACTTTGTTTATAACTCTATGTAGCGTCGACTGGTCTACGTAATAGTTTCTTTTTTTCGCAGATGTCATGTGCTTGGGTATTGAATATAACTCGAATACTTTGTCTTCTTTCAAGAAAGTGCATCATATGATAACAATTGAACGATAGATTATATAATGATCGTCCCCATTGTTCCTACGAACGTGCGGAAGGGAGGCGTAGCGAAATAAAGAGGACAATTGCACCGCCGAACCATACACGTACACACATCCGCCGGATTGGGAATTGGGAATTGGGAATTGGGAATTGGGATGCGGCGTTGCGTGGTTGTCAATACGATGCTTCGACAAGGATTAAAACGTGGAAAAAAGAACATGGGGTGATTGAACCAAGAATACACTAGTCAAGTTTTTCTTTTTCCTTCTTGCTAACTACCTTGTCTCCAAACCCATACCAATAGTTCTACCTACATAGTGCACTATGTATATTCCCTTACTTCCAACATATAGCATTGTTTGATATGATACAATGCTACATCATACGGTTTGCTAATCAAGGAAAATGCGGAGAACAATAAAGTTGCTATACGTGATGTGAGTTAATGGTGACGATATGGGTGTTAATACGAAGAGCAATAATTCGTATTTACTTTTTGACGGACCCCGTGACGAGGATCATATTCAAGGCTCCGATTTCATTGCCATTGTGCTAAACTCCGATGAACTCATTGTTGACGAGAATACTTCTAAAACTTCGATATCCGTAAGATGCAAGGCATAACAAAGACTGGCTGACTAGTTACTACCTAGTTTAGGGGCGATGGCAGAATGGAACTGGGGTATAAGTGGAAAAGGGGGCTGCCTCGCCTAAAAATAACTCCAATCTTGTTCATGTCGGCTATGCCGACGCCGTCTTAGCTTGTCCAAAACCAGCAGCACGACCTTCATACATAGTTAACTTACTATCGTCCACGCCGAGGATAGCTGTTCATCTTAACAGGACCAGGGCAATGCGTCATGCACGGCATTTTACGACGTCGTACCATGCCGGGTTTGTAGCTAATTTAATTCTTCAGCCTCCACTAGGGTAGCCTTGAGGAGTTCCTGTCATCCGCAGATCTTGCTAATAGATAACCGAGATCTGAATCCATGGCTCTATGTGTGGATTGGAGTCTGGAGAAGGTTCATAATCCTCGTTGTCCATCGGTACGTTGAATATTATAACTTACTAGCGTCTTGGTGTCCGGTCAAGGTTGTAAATCGACCCCAGATCAATATGGGCATACACGTTTGTTATAAATTACTATCACATCGTCTTTATTTCTCACAGGGTGATAATTAGCGACAGGGCGATCCCCTTTACGCTGTAAAATTTCCGACTGGTTCGAACGTAGAGAGAGGGGCCTTCCTCACATAGTAAGTACCGATCCTTAACTAAACTTTTATTGGCCAGAAGGTTCATTTGAAGCTGGTTGGTATTCCGGGAGATATATATCATCAATCAATTCGTATCTCCCAGAACCGAGCGGCAACATAGATATAGGTATGTTAAATATTTCGACTACGTAGGTGTATAGACGAGATATGCTGTCCTATAGGTAGGACCTATCATACCTACAATAGGCTAATGACATAGACCATACTACAGTTAAATACTATATAACCGAGACATGTATGGTTGTTGCTTTACTAGTCCTTATCGTGGACCTACAAGGCACGGAAATAACAATAACTTCGTTACTCCGCAAGGAGCTCTGGGCCTAGACAGGTATAAAACCGGCGCCTACCTAGGTACACATACTGAGTGCATCATTTTTCTAATCGTCTCATCTGGAATCCTAATACTGCCACTATGATGAGTGGGCGTGTAAACCTCAGGCCTGGGTTGAAATCTTCCTGCCTAATGAGTGGTATGGGAATAGTTTAACTAACGTATAGTTAGTAAATCCGAGTTATTGACAAGAAGTTATCATAGTTAGAAGTGATCTAAGTTATCCTATAATCATGACTGTTTCCCCGGATCCCCGAGGATGCGAGTGAGGAGCGGGTATCTATACAACTATGCCTGATTACAAAGAGCTACGAACCTAAGTGGCCAAGACTGGATCACTAATACATATATAAGAGCTCTTTTTCTGCATGTCTCGGCGGTCTAAGGTTCTAATAGTGTCATCTACGGAGCTAGGGCAGCACCGTGTGTGCTACTTTGCCTATCATCCTCTTCTACCACGCATGAGACTTTACCAGACTTTTATGTCGATTACGAGTCACTGAGAAAGCATTTAGAGGAAATAAGTTATAAATCATACCGATAGAGAAAAGACACCGGCTCCCAGAGGATATACAAGGCAAGTCGGTAACAAGGGTACTGTATTATTAATCTCTACTGTGCTTACACCCCAGATCACGCCCCCGATTCATATACAGCCACAGGAGTCTTAAGGGTCAGTCTTACGAATACGCAATGATAGATAAACGATACCCAAGTGACGTAGTTTTAAGACAAAGAAGACCCTTTCCAACTACATCGCTTCCCTATTAGTTATGCCGTCACTACTTAACATGTGTCCCAGAAATAACCTACAGAGTATATGAAGTAGTAATGCTCAACTCGGACATAGCGGGCACGGCCAAATGCCCAAACGACGAGCTACAGCAGTGATTTATTAACCCGTAAACCTCCTTCGAGCATAGGCGGCATTGGGACTATTACCTACCTTACCTATGAATATAGACGAAGAATCATGTGTAAATACCTAGTTTATAGGTAGGGGCTGAATCTACGTAATATCAGATGATCATTGAGCACGTAGGGTCTCATTAGACCATGGCCTCCCCATCACCATCGACATTGATCTGCCCTACATTGCTTACCTGATATAGAATCTACCTTGGGACCAATCCGGTATACGTTTACGTGAAGGAACTATCCGAAGAGACATCACTAAACACTATGACAACATGATGACTTTGGATACCAAATTAGTTTGGATGATTTCAGCGTTCAGTATGACATGACTATGGTACAGACAGTAAGGGAAGAGCCGGTACAATGCCGGATGCGAATGTGTTCATCTTGCCCCTACTTCATTCGGCTGCACCTAGCCGACTCGATTTCCCTGATACTGGGGAAGGATACGCCGATAAGAGACGACCTCTAAGAAACACCCGCAAGATGACCAGCCACCACTAAAAACCCAAATACTGCACATCCTCCCCTTCCACTGGACTCAGTAAATAGGTCACCACACTCAAGTGATTTTTCCTTTTATCCACAGAAGAAAAAATACCAATCAATACCTCCCCTCCATCTACTATAGTGATATCAGGGGCGGGAAAAGGCAATAAACAGGAATCAAGTAGACGCGCAAGAATTGTTTTTGTTTCCGGGTGAAAGCCATTTTTCATATCAACATGCCTCCATAAAGGGGGAGAAGACTGTATCCGTGTATCGAGTCGCCAAAATTTTTGAACTGAATCATAAGGGAAGCAAAGCCCAAGGTTCAAGAAGAAGCCCAATCACCATACCGCATCTTCGTCTTGTAAATCGAGGTGCCCGGTGCCTAGCTTCGAAGAGTGGAGGTCGAACCGAGCGTTGTAAATTATTACCAATCAAGTCCGAGGCGGTATATTAGCAGACTAGCTGACAGATGCGAATTGGGTAGAGAAATATGATATTATGGAGGTATCTAAAAGTGAACAGGGCCGGGAACTATACACTCCCTTGGCCCCTCGGTCAGCAGCGGCGAACAGTAGTCCGGTGGGAATCGAGTACAACGCAGGCCAATAAGGAAAATAGTTGCTGGAAAAGGCTGTCGTGACTTCGTCCTGATAGCATCGAACCTGAAGGATTCGTCATGCGTGACAGGTTGAAATTAGTTCGAAATATTCGTCTGAAAAGGAAGAGCGACAGCTACGTGGGTGATTCACGTAACAATGCTCCATTTTGACATAAGTTTCCGTCTAGTATGCCCAGATTTTGAGCTGTCAAGTGTTAGCGTACTTCGAGTCCGTCCCAAATATAGTTGACCGAAACTTACCACAGAGTCCCAAGAGCCCGTGCACAGGCTGATACCGTCGTTGCTAACGCCCAGACAGCTGACACGATTCTCGTGACCTACGAGGGATCCAACCTTCTCTCCCCTAGTGATATCCCAAACCTAAAAACTGTTAGCCGATAAAGCGTGATTTTAGTGGAATAGATAAATATATACCTTGCATTCGAAGTCATCATATCCAGCGAATAGTAGGCGACCAGAAACAGACGTGGCGACAGACGTGATACCACATAGAATAGATTCAGACTATCATAATATTAGTATTCATTAGGCCATGGTTATCTCGCGTCAGCCACTTACCCCGTAGAGATTGAGCTCCCTATCTGCTCGAATATCAAATAGTCTGCACGTCGCGTCGTCCGATCCTGTTACGAATGAATGGCCATCAGGGAAGAATTGAATGGCGTTAATATCGGACTCGTGACCAGCGAATGTCTGCACGGCCTTGCCGGCACGGATATCCCATAGCTTCGCGAATGCGTCGCAAGCGCCGGATATGAACGTGTTTTGATTGGTAGGGTTCAAACTAATGCTCATGACATCGCCTAGGTGGTCGGCGAATTCCATAACCTTTGTTCCGGTCTCGATGTCCCACTTCATACAGGTCATGTCACCAGACGAAGTAAGGATGCTCCGGTCGTTAATGAATCGGCAGCAAGATAAGTAACCAGCATGACCAGACAGCTCACGAGCTACGCGTGTCGGCCCATCTCGGTTCTGGTTGAGATTGTAGATGGAGCAGATGTTATCGAGACCACCGCAGGCAACGTAGTTGCCGCTCGGAGCGTAAGCGCAGGTCATAACCCATGATGACCGTAAGGGGATGGCGTGGACTTTGTTCGTCGTATACGCATCCCAAATGATTAACTTGCCATCTTGCGAGGCGGAAACTAGATGTCTTCGGTCGGTCGACCAGTGCATAGCATAGATTTTAGCCAGATGTCCCTTGAGCGTCCTCTTTGTCTTCATTAACTGATTTCGGGGGATTGCCTCGTGAGATTGTTGTGCCACGGCGCGGACTAAAAACGACGGACATAAGTATTAGAACGAAGCGCATCAAAATTATTGCAACGCGTTTGCGAAGCCGGAAGTGATTATCAATTGATAGAAAAAGGTAACTCACGAGTGGTATCGGCTAATTCATCCTTCTTTCGCTTGATCCTATCCTTCAAGTTCTCAGCCTCACGTCGCGCCTGCTGAATGCGCGCCTGCATGGCCTCGGGCGACACATCGTTCGGACGTTGCGAGTCCATAGCGGCGGCAATGGATGTGTGTCAATGAGAGGACCGAGGAGCAGCGGGAGAATTGGATAGACGGTGATGGACGACGGGTGTCGTCAAGCGGTGTGGATAGAGTTGATTTGGAGATCGCGAATGGCGTAGAGGACACCGAAGGGGGTAAAAAAGAGAGAAAAGGTGTGAGGTTGGAAATCAACTCGGGGTAAGGGTGAGGAGGGAAGACAAGCTCCAGGGGGGTCCTTGTCGAGGTGCTCTGACCAGTATTAAAAGGGTTAAAAATCAAAATAAAATAAAGCTCCGGCTAGGCCACACTCGGAGATGTAGTAGAAGAGATTGACTTGATTGTCAGGGCGAAAGAATGGGAAAAGTGTGGAGAGGACAGGACTTCAGCGTGCTGCTGCTAGGTGCTGAATGCCAAGTGCTAAAAAGAAGTCAAGTCAAGTCAAATGGATTTGGTTGCGTGTAGTTGTAAGATAGCAAAAAAAGTCACTAGCCCTCAGATTTGGAGATCGAAAAAAAAAAAAAGTAATCAAGGCAAGACAGGAAAAGGCTAGAAGGAAGGCAGCGTCCAGCAATCTGGAAGGAGTAGCAAGTGCTGTAGGCTGTACATAGGAGTAGGAGCAGGAACAGGAGGTAAATGAAGGTAAGGTAAGGTAAGGTAAGCTAAGTTAAGTTTAGGTACATGTACCCGGAGATAGCGCATGTATATGCATCAAAATATGTGGAGACCTAGGTGTACTTACCTATTTGTATGTAGGCTGGTACTGCAATTCTAATTCCTCCTTACCATTCTTGCCATTCTCGCGCCTATTCCAGGGCTTGCATATGTACATTTGGCATGGTTAGGTACATTATGTAGGTAGCATTCATTTATGTACACATTTATGTACCGTTCTATGTACAAACTAATGCAGATCGCACCGCCCGAACAAACATTAATATCTACATAGTAGAGTACTATTTTAGCTATGAAGAGATTACCCACATAGCATACGTATCTTAATGTACATAAGTGGATTATGCACAATGCCTCCTTTTATTTACATCGATATTTGCTGCTGAATAATAATACGGCCCTCTGTTGTCTTGGCCTGTCCATCAGATCCAATTAGAGCATTATTGCACCAACCTGGACGGTAACAACAGTACGTAATTGTAAAGAAGGAAAAATCCATTCCGGCATAAATGTATATTAGGTACAATACGTAGGCAGTGTGCGATGTGGTAAGCGACATGCAACCACCAAATACCGGGCAATGTATGTAGTGTAGGTATGTAAGATTTAGATATGTACGGACAGTTCAGAATATTTGTAGTATCAATCTGCCAGTCTGCCAGTGAAGTCCTGGGCCGCGCTGCAATTAGCTAAAAGGGGGAATGATAGGACTGACTAATGAGGCATTCTATTCGCTACGACAAGTAATTACGCCGCATGTGTGTGTAACTTGTATGTAAGCGCTCGGGCTTCGGTACTTTAATACTTTTGTTTTTTTTATCGCTTGCGTAACAGTCAGTTATGTAAAAGCCGACATTTATGACATGTACTTATGATCTGTATTTTTATTTAATAGGCCGACTATTTTAATTCTCCATGGTTTACCTATCGCTTCTAAATTGACTCCTTTTTCTGTCTACATTTTTTCAATCGCTTGAAATATATGTATGTATACGCATCTTAGAAAGAACAATGATTCAGAAACCTACCCACCTGGGTAGTCTAGGGATATTCGGATAGATCGCGTCTCCCGAATATATCGTATACCGGTGCTTACCATCCTCGCGTTTTCACCAATCCAACAGTCCAGTTTATTTCATTGCACTTGGCAATACAATACCTGTTATGCCCATGCCACGCCCCCCTTTGTGACCTGAGGTCCTAGGATAGACACATAACATACGTCTTTTATCATTCTCTTTGTGCTTACAACTTTACTATGGGTTCGGGTTTCTAGATGGAAACGCTGTTCCCCGACTTATTAAATTAGCCTCCTCGCATCCAATTCTACGCTCGCGGCACAGCAGACAAGCCAAGAGCCAACCATCGTTTGATATAGTCCCGTACGACGGTCAAGAATGATTATCCAGTAGTTAACTCTATTTTACCCCATGCTGTATTGTATAAATCTACCATAACACGATTAATAAGATATCCTTACCCCCTTACCCAAAAAGCTTAGCTGCGAAAAGTCTCCGCTGCTACGGGAACAAGAAATCATACATGCTCATTACAGTCCTTCAATGCGGATATACTACCAAAATCGTCCTTGGTCCATGCCCTAGCCGCGTTAGTCTCAACGGTCTCGTTAATGAAGAATTCTCGATCCTCGCCTATGCAAGGTACTAGCTGGCCTCAAAAGCGTCGGGTCCGATAATGGACCCTCTCCCCAGCTTCCTACATAACTCCCATTGTAACCCAAGTCTACCAGTTTCCCACCAACAAACAAAAAACAAGGAAAAAACCCCCCCGAAGTTATTCCAAGATGCGTAGCATAAGAGGACTAAGATCAACTCGGTTATTGGTTCCGATCACGTACAAAGGTCTAAATATGCAGTGCTTATTTGAGCAAGGAGAAGAGGAAAACGCCCGAGGCAAAGACTGAACAAGATTTAGTTGGTGGTGACACTAATTCGTCAAACATTACGCATGTCGACGAAGTCCGGCCTTGCTTTAATAAGGCCGTTGAACGGATCGCTTACTACGGAAACGTACATATCGTGATGGATCGGAAGGATCTAATTCCTATGCAGATAGAACTTCTAGAAGGGTTACTCGGTAGGAATCTGGACAAGCCTCATTTCAAGCAGACAGTTTGCTAGACACTGTGTGGCATCGGGCGTAATTATTGATAAGTCTTGATTGCCAGATCATTTACCGAGGCTTATTCAACTGAATAGTGAAGCTATTAACTATATAACTATGTAAATATATAGTAACCGTTCACACGACAGAGGTGATCTTATCCTGCCAGTAAAAGAGCATTGAAGATAATATGAGTGATGAATAATGCTAAGGAGCTGACTAAGTAAATATGTCTTGGACTCGTGGATGCTATCGATATTGTAAATAATCGACATCGTTTACAATACCAAGTTACAGTGTGATTTTCGTCCAATGGGGGGTTTCCATCGTCAGTAGCCGACGACTAGCCTGTGCGCATCTACACGAATATCGACTATCTATATTAAGCTTAAAATCAACCACAGACGTTTCAACTACAAGTCCTCTCCGCTAAATAGTTAGATCTCCTATGAAAAGCCTTGGCAGCATCGCTTCAAGTTGAGGAATTTGATAGACCAAGTACAATAAAAAATTGATCCAACGCCTTAAGGAACTGTCCTACACGACATCATGGCACAGAAACTGGACTTGGACTTCAAGTCTATGCCCAAGATTGAGGTAAACTAGATCAAACGCTCAAATACACTTGATAATATTAACATCCATTTCATAAACAATAGCTCCACGCCCACTTAACAGGCAGTATAAGCCGGCAATGCCTACACGAGATCTGGGAAGTCAAGAAAGCAGCAGGGGAAACCGACCTAGAAGACCCTCTAGTCGTGATGCCACTAGGTAGACACGACTACGATCTCACAACGTAAGAAGCAGCCCGCCCTAGTGAAGGATGACATATTGGCCCGGATAAGAATAGCAAGAGCTGAGGTCATCTCCCTAGCTTCTTCCCCCTCTTCTCTTCCTACATCTATAACCTAATCAATGACGCTCCGTCCCTCGCGCACTCCACCAAATCCGTCGTACGCGACTTCGCCGCCGACGGAGTGGCGTACCTCGAGCTAAGGACGACGCCCCGCGCGATGCCGGCCGCGGGCCTGGATAAGGCAGGCTACGTAGCGGCAGTACTACAAGCGATCGCGCAAGAAGAAACGCAGACGCAGACGCTCCACACGCGTCTAATCCTGTCCATCGACCGGCGCAACACCCTCGCCGAAGCATACGAGACCGTCGCTCTTGCGAAGCAATTCCGTACCCAGGGTCGAGGCGTCGTAGGAATCGACCTCTGCGGCGATCCTACGAAGGGGGATGTAGCACTATTCACGCCCGCGATTAAAGAGGCACAGGCCGCGGGACTGAGAGTGACGATCCACTTCGCGGAGGCGGAGGCTAGTGCTAGCTCAGCCGAGCTGAGCACGATAATGAGCTGGATGCCGGACCGGTTGGGCCACGTGATCCATGTGCCGGAGGGAGTCAAGAAGCAGATAGCGGCGCGGAAGGGGATTGGTCTGGAGTTGTGTCTTAGCTGTAATGTTCACGCAAAGATGATTGTTGGAAGTTTCGAGGCGCATCATTTTGGAGAGTGGTGGCGGGTTGATGGGCCGGTTGTTGTGCCTTGTGTAAGTTGACGCGTAGATTGGATTGGAAGAGTATTTGCGTATGGGACTGTGCTGACTCGATGCTGGCTAGACTGATGATGTGGGCGTTTTCGGGAGTCCGCTGTCGAGCGAATGGAGGCTTATACAGGAGCACTTTAGACTACAGCGAGAGGAAATATTAGGATTGGCGAGGAAAGGCATTGATGTCATCTTTGCGGACGATGATGAGAAAGCGAGGTTAAGAGAGATCATGTGGTGAAGGCAAATATCCGGATACGCTACGCAGGGCAATGATTAACGTGAAGAAGTGAAGGAACGAGTATACGCCCTGTTTACGATTTACCGTTTCCTTCTCGTTAGCCATAATCCTAATGTTATATCCCTGATTTTCCACCTGGCCCCAAATCTAGATCTAAAGCCTACCGAATGACGCCTTTCTCCCTTCTTCGTGAATCTCGTTACCGTTCTAGTCGTGCGTCAACGCCCATTCCTTAAACCAAACCAAAGATTCGGGGTTCGCTACACTGGTATTCGTCTTGATATCGATTCCGGAAAGAATCTGTTTGACTGCAACCTCGATTCTGGCAAGACGTTAGCTATAATCCAAACACGTATCATAGAAACAGACGAAGTGCAACGAAACGTACTTCTTCCCGTTTAGTGTCTTCGGAACTCCTGCTCCACATTCTTCGATCACGGCTGGGATATGCCGTGGACTTAATTCCTTCCGAATTACATCTCTGATCCTCTCTTGTAGGTCGGGGGTGAACTTATTCCCCTCGGCCATGACGACGAACAAGCAGACGGTTTCGTCGCGGTCCGTCTCCCGCCTCCGTCCAACACATACAGCATCCTCTATCTCAGCCCCGAAGAATTTGGTCAACAAGTTGTAGATCTCGGCACTACCGAATCTTACACCGCCAGGCTTGAGGACGCCATCACTACGCCCGAGCATGACAATACCACCTGTCTTGGCGTTCATCCGTAGAAAGTCGCCATGATGCCATATGCCATCGAAGCGTTCAAAATAGCTAGCACGGTACTTGGCATCGCCCCCGGGTCCCCAGAATGTCAGAGGCTGGGAGGGAAACGGCTTTGTGCATACCAGCTCTCCGTTTCCGTCGGGCATCGGGGCACCGCTAATAGAGTCTACTACGTCAATGGCCATGCCGAGCGCCGCGCATTGAATTTCGCCCACGTGGACTGGAAGCAGCGGGCATGGGAGGCCGAAGCAAGAAATGATGTCAGTACCTCCGGTAATGGATGCCAAATTGACGTGAGCAGGAAATGCCTTATATACAAAAGAGAAAGTTGACGGCGGCAAGGGTGCGGCTGTTGAGTAGATTGCTTGTAGAGAAGAGAGGTCGAGGGATTGAATTGGATAAACCGAGTTAGTCTCAAGCGCCGTAAGGTATGCGGCAGACGTGCCAAAGTGGGTTGCCCGTAGCGAGGAGAGGAGTCGGGGTAGGGAGAGGTAGCCATGCGGTTTAAAGGGCGATCCGGAGTATAGAATAAGAGTCGTCCCGCATGAAAGAGCTGATATGCTCCAATGCCACATCATCCACTGTAGGGACGAAAGTTAGCGATTATTTCTAGTAATGAGTTTAAGGGGTTTGAGTATAGTTGGGAGAAATGGCCCTTTGGTCAACTCGACAAGGACACATTGGCTCTTAAGACAGGTCTAAAAGGGGGGGAAATGGATATTTGATAGTTACTACGTACAGACGTAGTGGTATAGTAGAGTAACCTCGAAGTCGAATTCAATGAGGAATGAAGATACAGCTCCTTCTTATGCTGGATTAGCGTACCCAACGCCGAGTGGACTATGGCCTTTGGTAGACCCGTAGTGCCGCTAGAAAATAAGACGTAGAGGGGATGTGATGGTGGGAGTTGTTCGAATTTCAGGGGTTCGTCACCGCCGCTAGATAGTATTAACGTTAATAGTATTGGCCGATGGGTTCTTAGGGGAATACCTTCTCAAAAAGCTTTCGTATTCTCTAGCCGTTACCCCCTTCGAGCCCAGCCCTTCCAACTCTAGGCTGAAGTCTTGGATGTTATTTATAACGACGACAAGTTCTAAACCCCTGGACGTGAGTTCGTCGACTACTTGTGATATCTTGTCCGTACCAGACCATGATTTGCTGTTGTACACGGACCCATTATCCGCGAACAAGACCTTAGGCTCAAGCTGGACCAGCCTATCCAGGACGGCACTTACTCCGTTATCCGGGCTTATTCCCGTCCACACGGCTCCGATGGCGGCTGCAGATAGCATCGCTACGAGAGCCTGATGGTGGTTCGACACGAATCCAGCGATAACATCATTGGGTTTCAAGCCGGCAGCCCTCAACGAACTAGAGCACCGTCGTACTGCTTCTCTTAGTTCAGCCCACGTTGTCGACACGAGCTGCTCTTCGACCTCAGTAACCGTGATGACGGCGGTAGAGGACTCGTCAATATCCACATTCTCTGGGAACAGGAGGTTCTCCGCGAAGTTTAACAGTGCACCGGAGAAGAAATCCGGCCTGGGGAACATGGATGCATTGTCCGGTAAAACCTATTGGGTGATAAGTTAAGCATTGTGCTAATTTGACAAATAGGGGTAACGATTCTCAAGTTCTTTAACCTCCCGGGGCTTGAGAGTATAAGACAACCAGACTTATTGGTTATAGAAAATAGATTTCGATAATGCCAAGACACGTACACATGAGTAAGACCTAGACGCTTTTATGCCGCAAAAGTGCCATACTTCCTCCCAGAAATCCGAGATGTTCTCGACGGACCACTTGTATAAGGTGGGATAGTCTTTGATTTCGACATCATATTTACCCCTTACGTGTTCTAGAAACTTGTACATCTCGGTTGAGGTAGGATTTGGATGCCGCCACAACTCGGCTGGTTCAGATATGGTATCGACAGTCATCGTGAATATATAGAACCTTCTATTTTTAATACGGGTAGAAAGCTAAGTTGAAGAACTATGATGGTACTTGAGAGAGGTATAGTATTTGGATATCACGGAGTAAGTCTGTTGAGGTTACGATTGGCTGAGGATGCTCTGTAATTATATAAATTAGGTAATTCGGCCTTGAACTTGTAAATGAAAGCCACAAGTCAAATGCGTTTAACTATGTAAGTTAAAGCACAACCTTTTATAAAGTCCGATGTCAATTGTGGCTGGTGGATGTGGAGGACTCTTGTTAGAAACTGTTGAGTTTGACCTTGTGTAACCATTTAAAGCATCACTAAGCATTTTTAAGCCTTTTCCTCCTTTAAGCTAGTGTAGTCGATAAAAATACTATATAGTTTACGCTACGGGATATGGTACATTAATATACCTATTACAATAAGGTATATATGAGGTATTAATACCTTACCGCTTAAAAGGGGTCTTTAAAAATATTTACCGTTATTATATTATATCCCGAAAATCATTTTAAATAAATATATTAAAGAAATAATAATAAATTTAATATGGTTTTAATATTTATAACCGTTTTTTATTATAAATAAATATTTAAATTTTAAAATTATATTATAATTATAATTATTATATATATATAAAAATTTTTAATTAAAATGATTTTTATTTAAAATAATATTATATATTTATTACGATTATTAATTAAATATAATTTTATTTATTAAATATAATATATATTTTTTAATTAAATTTTAAATATTATAATATATTTATTTTTAATATTATATT